TATTTTTTTGAAATTTACTCGTTCACATTACAACAAAGTAAAAGAAAAAATCCGATGCCGCTTTGAAATAACGGGTAAACGATAGCGCTTCTGAGGATTATCAAATCTCTCGAGGGATGCGCCACGTATCCACGTATTACTAGAATTCAGGATGCAGTGGCTTTCTATGATTGATTGATTTGATTGATTGATATGATTGATTCTCGACCTATATAATGACTTTCGAGAGCGGCAGATGTGCTGCTCCGTACACAACAGTTGGGCGATTTAGAAATAAGAGGTTGTGGAAAAAGCTTCCCAACTTGGCGGAACCTTGTTGGGATGTCAATTTTCTGTAAACAAGTCTAGGGCACACAAGATACGGGGCATCCCTTATGACTAAGGCTATGACAAGCCTAGGAGGGGCAGGAGCTTCGGGGAAAATGAAAATTGCTCAAGCGTCCTGAAGCCTCTCTTTTTAAGGCTCAGTCCCGTTCATCAAAAGGAGGTATTTGTGTGGTTTTAGTTTAAGTGCATGCCGCAGCAGTACCCCTGTATCTTGCGATAGCGCCGAGTCTAGTACTCATAAACCGACCCTGTGATGAGGCAAAGCTCAGTTGGCTTGAACGGGACTTCATCCGGTATCTCAGTCCCAGACCGTTAGGCAGCGAGGGGCACCACTCCACCATCCGCGCATACAAACTAGAGTAGAGCTACCTAATAATCGGATTAAATAAAGTCTATTGTTATGTGTTTTATTGTAATACGCTGCCACGTCCTCCCGCTTTGTTGCCAATCGCAAGATTTCAAGGTCGATTTCTTTTGTGTTTTAGAGTTTGCAATAGTCGTCTTCATGTCTCACCATTCTCACCGTTCTTTTGGCATCACACTTTGTTCGTTTTTTGTCGGAGCGTTCCCATCCGGTCAAAAACTAGTCTCCAATTTTCTCGTCACTTTCCGAACATACCGGGTCAATACCTTACCAAGCAAAAGTTAACGTGAGGGGTTTACTGCCACCACTTCGTGTCGTGCACAGGGAAGAATCGATTCGAGGAGTTATTGTTCTGAAATGAAAATTGTGGGTCGATTCCCGTGAACTTACTTCAGAGTTGGATCCGATCCAATATTTAAGTCGGGCACTCTGCTGTAATCCCTCAATCGCACCGATAGGTGAATTGGACATTACTCTACAGGCAGTAGTGCTTCTTCATCTGCTGCGCTTTGAGATGCTGGAAAAACCAGCTATCCCATTTGGCCTGTAAGTCAGCCTGAGGCGTATAATCCTTTGAAGCTTAAAGGCACCGGTCGCGATCGAAACGTTGTGATCCTTTGTTCGAAAATCAGACGAAAATGCAAAGAGGAACGCTAATGAAGAAAGGCAGAAACCGTCATGCAAAACGCTTAATTTTTTGTGGGTCGATCGTGTGTGAGAGGCCCAAGCGCGGCGAATAGGGGGGAAAGGCGCCTGAGAGAGCCGCGTGGTATGAGCATCAGATCCAGCTCAGATCGCAGGGGTATGCTACCAACTGACAAAAGTGGCCCAGCGGTCGCAGGCGGTCGAGCAAGGGGGCCTCTTGACGTAATGCTTCATTGACTGTAAAGATCTTCTGCACATTCAAGGATATTACCATGTATTCCAAATTGTATATCAATCTCGAAGCTTGACAGAAGCAATACAACTTCTGCACTTAGCTTTTTTTTCGAAAGGCTGCCGTATAACCTTAGAACTTGAAACACTGATCGAGGAGTGATGAACTATGAACAGGTTTTCGCGAGAGGCAACTAAGACCGGGCTTAAGCCACGCAAATCTTCAGCTAGGCCGGATTCAGCAAGAATTCACACAGATTATGGGCACCGCAGCGATGGCGCAGAGATCTTATACCGCCATGAGCAGATTCGAACCAGTGCTTCGATCGCCACTCGTTCCATTGAAAAACATGGGCCACATATCCATCGGACATATGTTGCTTTCGTATTTCAACGGAACGGTGGAAGGCGCCGTTGCACGTCCTCCTTGAGACCTAACAAAGCCCGTTCTCTTTTCAATGTGACAGCCCATAAAATCTTTCAAATGCAACGAGACTGTTCGTTCTCGAAAGAGGGAAACACCCATCTGAGTCACCAAGGGAACACTGCGCAGTGTAACTGACATCTATCTCCAATGACAGACCACTCGATAAGAATAACTGTGAAAAGATAGCTGTTGAAGGATTTGTGGCACCTCGTCGCCACATTGAAAGCGTGGCCTTGTCTGTCATGGTGACTTCTACTGAAGAGTTACAAAAACAGCACGAAACTGGGAGGGAGGCTTGTTTGCGAAAAACTATACGGAGGTCATCGAGGCTGTTAGGAACCCCTTGCGACATGTAGGTAAATGATAATTTTGAGAAGTTCCATGATCGTATATTCACCATTTCACCATTTTCGACCCACAGAGGAGAATAGACAAGAGAAGTGCCCTGAATATTAAGCCAGTGACGGGTTCACTGATAATTCAAGAAACTTCATTGTTAGGGGTTTATTAGAGGATGAATGGAATAGGTGACTGAGTTCAACCTGGTATCTCTGATTCGGCCTACAGGGTCCCATTTTCAAACCAAAATTCATAGAGAAGAAAGAAGAAAAGAAGCGAAGGTCAATGATAAAGCAACGTCTAAAGTTCCCCGCAGCATGGTTAGGATCTAGCAGACAGGACCGGCAGGTCAATTTTTTCATTGCATCACTACGATTATAGCCGCCGACCAAGTCCTACAGCGAGTGAACGTGCAGTGAGGGAATCCTGCTAGTGAGAGGTTAAGAAAAAGACACTGGAGGCATTCAATATGTTCAGTGAGTGAGGTGGAGAATTGAATTCCCAGAGCAGCAAAGTGATAGATGACCAACGAGGGTTAGACATTATTGACAAATACTCGATAGAAGGCTCGCATCAGGCTATGGGGAACGGGAGTTTGTCGTCGGACAATGATAGCATGTTTCCGAAAGAGGATGGGCACTGGTCAAGGTGTACTGAATTTTTTTTTCATGATCTTGGCCCGATCTTTGAAAAAATTTTCGCGAAGTTTTGTTTTTGAAAGTTGAGAATTTCTTGAACATTTTCGGGATAAAGCAGATAGTGTTTTCGATCGGATGAAGGTGGAGATGTCAGAACGTAGCTGTTGTAGGACCATAATCGGAGCGGAGAAGCCGAATTAGCTCCTGGGGAAAAGCGGTTTCAGTCGAAATTCCTCTATATGTGGCTCCCCCTGAATCACTTTTGACTGTCCTTGAGCTTCATTGGCGACTTTGGAACGGAAAAATTTAAATGTATTCTGAATACATCCTCTGGGGATGTTACCTAAGATGATGAAAACTCGAGATAGCAACTGGTTTTCGTCGCAATCTCCACCCTCCCCCTATGACATAATGCCAATTATTGCATGAAATGCGTGGAGTGCTAACTACATTTCCTTTGACACAGTTATCTTCAGTAATTCATCGCGTAGGTGCACTCATTACCAAAGTGCCTCAATTTTCGAGGCGAGCAATTGTATGGCGTGCTCCAAAAAAGGCTTCAATGCTGAGAATTGTGCTATCTATGAGTGTTTAAGCATAATGGAAATCGTATACGATTGTTGAGAAATGACTTGAGTGGGTTATTTTCAAAGAATAGAGGAACCAATAAAAACTATTTTGCTTTGTAATTATTAAGCTATTTGAGTGGCTACAATTAATTTAACAATAACCTTCAAGGCAATATTCGAGTTACATCTGATATAAACTCACTAGAATTTCTAATCGAAAACAAATTTATCTATTCAAGACCTAACCAGCTGCAGTTCTACGTACCCTAAAAATATCCAAAAGCCTCCTGTATAGATGCGTTTTACTAACTACAATGTTACAAATCCATTGTGAAGTGTATCGCACTTTCTACAAGGACACCGCGGGTTTTCCCCCAAACAGCGTCTTAGCGTCTCAACCACTTTTCAGAGCTTCTTCTAAAAAGTGCGAGGCAATTGCCACATTCAGAAAATGTCTTTGTGCGTTTTGTACCTTCAATTTTCTAACTTACAACGAACTCACCAAAAACTAACAAAGCGCTTTGCTGGAATTTGGTAATTAACGATGGCACAGAAACAGTTGGCTAGCCAGGGGTAACCACATCAATCATCAGATTGGGAAACGGTGTTTCAACCGGATCCCATGCTTTGTAGGTTGACTTAGTGGTACTGGGCTTAGGCAGAATCAGAAGGCTCAATTATGTTTTTTCTAAGAGTCCAAAATGTATGATAGCTAGCTGAGTTCCCCTACGGTTCTAAATGGAAGCGGATACGGGATGTACTATACAATCAGTCGATTCTTCAGCGCTTGATGCTGGTCAAGCGCGACCCAAAATGGTCAGTAAAGTCATCGGAAAGCAAAACATTATCAATTCAGGCCCCTCTGGAAACTAAGGAAAAGCTTTTTGGAAAAAAGCAGTCGACTTCGGCCGACAAATTTTCAATAACTTTGTGTTGTGTCATTGCTGGGACTAATAGACCCCAGCGGTTCAGCTATAACATCGTAGTAAGGAAAGCTCCCCAAAAAATTAATGCAGTGCTTTTATATGGATGGGTTTCGCAGGGACATTCAAGCGCTTTTCCGTGCTGCCTGGGCACAGCTGACTTAAAGGCATAACCCAGGCAGAAGTCTGATGAACGATTTCCCAATGTCTGTAGGACAGACTTTCAGAGGACATATAGATATAGCACTCCCGTGCATGGAAATGGCCCAACAAGGCTGCCAGAGCCGTGCGAGAACAGCTTCAACAGCTTCAATTTTGCCCGTCCGCTGCAGGCTATTGTCTGGGGCCCTCACATCATTTGCACTCTTTCGCTTCCGCTCTCCACCGTGTGTCAGTCTCACACTGCCTTAGCGCCACCATACTGCGAAGGTTCCCGTTCATGGTGTAGCGGCAGCCGTTTTTCATGGTAAAGCACCAGACTTTTTGTTCATGGAAATTTTTTTTCCAATACGCAAGATTAATAATTTATCGGTCGTTGTTCCTCGCCAATCCCAGACTAGTTCAGTCTCCTTTCCCGTCGTGATCACCTACTTTCGATATTAATGTGCTTGTTTACGATTCCGCTAAGCGATTTCGTTGGAATGGGAAGAGTTCGATCTTTTGTTAACAATACCCCTCTACGACGCTCATTCGTCTTATCATGTCCGTGAATGATGTCAACCATCACGAGGTTGCCGCCGAATATGTAGATCTACGACCCTATCTCTTCAGAAGCGCCTGTTTCGCGTGAGAGCAATCGTCTGACTACAACATAACAACTGATTGGTTTCAGTCACCCTTACCGAGTAGAAGTAAACTTGCGCTGCGAAAAATCATCCCGACTAGTACCTCCACGGGGGCTTCGTAATAACAGGCGCTAGATTCTTCTTACTTCGAAAGTTAACCGCTGCCTACTGAAAACCAGGCGAAGTTGTTGAGATGGTTCGGGTCACACACGGACTTTGTTTCCTCATCACGACCAATTAAGGTCGTCGTGCAAAGGTTAAAGGTAACCCAGTTCAATTGAAAGCACTTTTTGGGAGCGAACTGATGTATTATTGCGCTTGTAAGTGGAGTTATGAAGGGTGACGTCAATAAGGTAACAAGGACGGAGACCGAGTCCCCCCCCCTCCTTGTGGCGGCGAAGTGAAATTTAGATTGTGAGTTATGCGTTTGGTGCTGGGTGGACCACATGGTTGATCCTTGAGCCTGAGTGCTTCAGCCTCACCGTCGTGGCGCCAAGCGGGTAGGTGCCGTGCGCAATGCGTTCCTTCCCATATTTCTCGCGCAGGAGATCTGGTGTTGGTAAATTAGGGGACGTAACAGAAAGCAGAAAGCGATGTCATAGCTTGTAGCTTACTTCGCAAGCATTTATTCAATTGATGCTACGATTTAGAAGAAGTGGCGTGTTCCTGGCGACTATCAGTCGCGAAGCTTCTCCATGTTTTTTTGCCTTTTGAACCTCGGCCAACGGCTGCGCAACGAATTTTTGCAGGATTTGAAACACAAAGCTAGAGAGAGTAAGAGCAGTGAGTGGTGAAAGGCTAAGAGGACAATGATGTCGGTATTGGTCCTCTCTCGATGAAATGTCCATACTTTCATCCTTGTTTTGAAGCTAGCAAGCATGCAACTGCTGAATATTTTAACTCTTTTTTTTGTGCAAGCACCGATAGTTTTGAGATACCGAACTCCCACCCCCTAAATAAATTTTGGCAAAAAGTACATAAACAATAATGAGATCCAATAAACAACTTTTGGTTTTACAAAGTGAATGACTCAATTATACACGAAATCAATAATTTTATTGACTGACTCATTCGGAATGCAGTTCCATAAGCAATACAATGGCCTGTAGCGCTACTGCCTCAACTCCATTAAAATTTCCGAGCAATCTACCGTAATTAGTCGCCCTGCTACGTCCGATCATGGAGCACTTTTTCTTTTAGTCTCCATAATGATGTGGTCGCCATAATGCTGAAAGGGGCTGAGTAGGAAGAAGGAGCGGTTGAATAACCAAGAACAACCAGAGATTTCGTTTCTGAAATTGGAAGAAAACTAGGCCATGCAGAGAGGTCGGGTATTTATGTGAATATCCTAACAAGGTTGTTCGCGCTTCAGTGACCACCCAATCGAGGCAATCAGCGTAGCTTCATTCGAACGCCGCAAGGGATGAATTCAAATATGAATCTCCATAAGCTGGATATGACTCAGATTGGTTCCCGGCCGCTCAACTAGCACCGAACTACCCTAAGAGGAACCCTCAACTAACTTCAAGATCAGTTGCTTTACGGCAGTCTTTGTATGAGCCATCCTGTATTCAAACGAATTCGGAATGGAGGTGGAATGCGTTGCGCATCCTGACAAGAGATTGATGGGGCTGAATGCCTCACGTTAAGTAGATGTTATAGAAAAGCTCAGTTTCCTTCTCAACCCTGGTTTGGCCAAAACAGCAACATCGGAGAGTTGACGTGGTGTTTGCCACACTGAAGCTCACGCTGGTCGAATTTCCAACCGTATAGATTCTTAGAAGTTCCTTCACTAACTACACAGACGATATCCGACCATGACAGACGAATAGGTTTAACTCTTTCGTCCTCATTCCCGTTCAGTTTCCTTCCAAAGAGTCCACATCACAACAATGTTTTTCGTTTGCTTACAAAATTACACAGCAAGTCACGATTGCCAATGGAAAAAGCCTGCACCTCAGGAAGCCTTCAGTTACCAGATCTTTCTCGAGATCTTTAGTGTCCATTGCTTGATGTCGAACAAATTGCATGGCAGGCTGGGGATAATTCAATTGTTGTGTCTGGTTAGCTTTAATTAACGCTTTTCCAAATATCGTCACAAAAATGTCGCAGCCTCAAAGACCTCTCAGCGACGAATTAAATTTTTTGAGACGAGAATAGCTCACAATGTTCTAACATAATTTGTTTCCGTTGTTTCCGCTTCTAATTGTAAGGTTTGAGCAGAAATTATGCTGAAGGATAAGGGGAGGGAAGCAGACAGTGGAGTTTCAATATCCCGTTCTCAGCGATAAAGCGCTTTCTCAAGGGGGACTGGCTTGAGTTATGAAGCATAAAGAGTAAAGCAGTCGGCGTTAATCAGTTTCTTTGTGGATCCGCCTCGCATCTACGCGAATGCGATTTGGTCTATACAATGACTGACGGCGCAAGCCAAGTAAAAGTTAGTGAATTTATCCTCCTAGACATGTCCAGTATCAATTAGCCTACAAGGATGGATGTAAGGCTTGGTTTGGGCATACGCCGTACGACCCAGGATTGATCACCGGATCGTACATTTGGTAAGGAGCGGTGTTTGCCACTACACTAATTCCGTGCACTTAATAATAGTAAGTATTAATATGGTTATTAGGTATAGTGGCAATTTCTTCCGGTAGGAGCCAGGTTAAACGCTGATGACGCTTATTGTTTATTAAAACACCAGATTGGTCCACCTCAGCCGCCGGGACGTCCCTTCCTTGCGTAAACTTTACGTCTCTCGCTATGGTCCCTACCACTTGTAGCGCCAACAACTCGTGGAGTTTACGCGTAAAAAAAAAAACGAATTCATATAGTTGAGGGCATCATCATAACCATGAAATGCCGTTAGAATGACATCTCAATACTTGACTGTGGCTTATGTCTAGCGGTGATAGGCTTTCCGCTTTTATGCAGAGACACTCTAATTGCTCGAAAGGCCTTGAATCCCTCCGAGCTGCTTATTGATGTCATGTGTCAGCGCATACACTAAAGCCGGATGTGCCGACATGTTGGTGTCTGCGTCTCGCTGTTTTCCTATGCTCCCTCGTATTTGAGTCCGTTCTCTCATCGCACTCGGTGTTTCTCAGATATTTCTAAAAACTCGCCGACACAGAAAAAGCATTATAAGAACAACAATCAATGAACAACATCAAGTGTCCATTTAGGTTTTTTTCATAAGTAATACAGCAAGATTGGCACTAGAGACAAAGTCTGTTAAGAAATCTATTTCAGCACCCAATATCTCGTCGTGTGCTGAGGTTCGAGCGGTCCGCTGAGTTCCCACAACCTGGCGAGCTTCCCTTCCCAATGCTTGACTTTGCCAAGATCCTTCCGTAAGTGTTTCTGTACAGGCTTGTTTGATCACTATAAAATGCTCAGAATTGCTGGAGATTGCAGAGAAAACTCTAGATTTATTTCTTCTTCAGAGGATACTTTCAGTAGGCCGTTCACTAAAAAAGTATGAATTTTTCTTGAGGGTATGTTGGTTGGCAAAGCAAATGGAAATCGAGCTAATTCCTTTCTCCCCTCCGTTTAGAAGAGTGCAGCAGGCGTCAAGTCGCTGAGTGCGCTTCAGAGGGCACTCTTCTATACGGGGCGTAATAAGTGTTTCCTAAAATGTGAACTGAAGGAGTGTTCGCCCTGCCCTTTCTCATTATTTCCCCAGTGGTGCTAGGATAAGCGCGACTGATTTTTCAATGGACAGTTCAAATGCTTTTAGTCAGTAAATGGAAGGTTATTTTCAACGAAATTCGCGTGACCGACCGTGACACGAGAACATATCCGCCTTTGACCCTGGCCCGATTTTTCTGCAAGTGGAGAATGATGCACCGTCGACAAAAGAGGAACTAATTACTCGTCTCTTATTTCGCTTTCCCAAGAATCACGGGACGCCGTTGCATCGAATCAAAGTAATCGTAAGAGGGAAGTGAAGTTTTCAAAATAGGTCAGGTGGATGGACGTAGCCCTAAATGTGCACTCATTTTCCGCAGCGGCCAAAAACTGTGCCAAATCAGTGAAACGCATTGTCGGCTAGAGGATCTGCAGATGTCGAACTTCAGCGCCTCAAGTGACCTCATTTTCTTTGACCAATTAAGAACTGCCTCTGTATTCTATGGCTAGATTTTTTTTGAATATCATTATCCAAAAGTATTCTCGACGGGAGCTTTTTGGTTGGGTGAGGAAGGAAAGAGAGTTCAAAACCTAATTGCTTCATGACTCCATTTTATAGAGGGAGGGGAGGGGGAGAGAGATGTCTGCCCTGAAAACTTGAATCAGGAGTGTTCAATAAACGTTCTGATAATCTCCTTAGAAAAGTTTATTTCACTAGACTCATGCGGACAACAACAGGTCCTCAAGTGGGAAAAATAGGAGTATTAGGAGGGGAAATTGGGTTTCGGAACGTGTAATGTAGAAGAGTGTCAAGTGGTTCCTGCTCTTGCCCATGCAGCCCCTCCCCCACCGCCTTTTTTTCGCGAGCAGTAAAGCCGCCCAATTGTTCACAGTGCTTCTTCAGCACATTGTTAGGCAGAATAATCATTCCGACAAAAATTTTCACCTTTCTGTCTTTCCGAGAATTTAACTATTGTATGAAAAATTCATCTAAACTTGTAAAATGCCTCGAATAAACACTCCACCCAACTACCTCCCTTCTCTCGGAGACATATGGGGGCTGGTAATCTACAAGTAGGGAATTTCTCGATATCTAACTAATAATGGTAAGGTGAACTCAATTATTTGATCGCGCTTAATGGCTATGGATTTAAAGGCAGCGAGTACGACAGATTCAAGGAAAGTCTGGAGGAGACGTGGTGGTGCTCAATGGTACGCCAGTGGCGAAAAAAGCAGAGAAATCCGTCAAGAAAACGCAAAACGGGACCCCTTTTTGGCCGTTGGTTTTCACTCATGAACAGGTAACAGCTCAGAAAGCGGACGTATGAACGAGTTCACCGCAACGCGTTTGGTGGCACCATGCCAAACCACGCTTAATCGAGTGCTCCAGTTGTGCCGCTGCTGGCAACGCAGCTCGTCCAAATCACCAACTAAACTAGTGGGCGGATCGCTTTTGGGGCGGAGTGCTTTCGAAGTCCTGCTCAGCAACCAGCGCACCTTTCGTCGTGAAAGCGCCACACCTCGCTTCCTGGCAGCCAAGTAACTGATTCGTGTGGTGCATATGCTTCCCGATGCGCTCCCTCCTTATCGTAATCGCTTCCTAGGCGTGTTGTGCCTTTGCAATAAGTCTGAGGCCATTTGTGGGAAGTGCAAGCCCTACATCATTTTTCAACTATGAGGGATGAGAGACTTATATGGCACAACAAGACTTCTAAGGAGATCAACGATCGCTGCTACTGAACGAATTCCGCACAAAATTTAGAGGGACCTTAATGTAAAAGAGCGTTCTTATATGATATAGGACTCTACTAGGAAAGAGGAATTCTTATGGAATTGCAACTTCTCTATCAATTACAATGGCTACTGTTCACAAGAGAAATAGATTGATAGGTTTGCCAACAGACGGGAAACTGATCTAAAAACCGATTTCAGTGACATTCCCGTGAAGTACAAGCCAAGCCACGTGATGCCGGACACCGACTATCAGCCGGAGCTCGAGTTCTAATCGGCCGAATAACTCGAATCGAATTACGGCGTCGATCGAAATTGATATGACACAAATAGTTCGACGATCATTCCAACCTATTCGGGTTATTCATTATGTATGTATATGTAAGTATTTCCTTCATGCTTTGCTAATAAATATCGATTGCTGTTCTGCGCAAATTCTTGAAGATGAATCAATAATCAGTTTATGGACGTTTTTTGAAAACTCCTCGAGTACAGAAAAAAGCTTGTTGGACGTGTTTCCGACTGAGACTATGGGGCAATCGCCCAGCGATAACCCAGTTTTCCGCTGAACAGAAAAAGCCTCCAGACGATTGATTCACTTTGGCGATTTATTATCGTAATGTGATCAAAGTTGCAGGGGAATTTCACGACGCTAGGAAAAGTAGTGAGAAGTCGCGCACGGTGATGCCTAGGTAGTATACAGTTACTGAGCAGTAGGTAAGTATACAACAACATTTTTGACTCTTTTTTAATTGGCAACTACTGCTTCGCTTCGCAGTTCTCCATGTAAAAGTTGTCGTGAGAATGCTGAGTTGTAAGAAGGGTGCTAACTGAATTTGGAGGGGAGGGGGACCTCGCGGCGCTCTGGTCGTCTGCAGCTCGTCAGGGTTAGTTAATGGGGCCGTTACTATTCGCCACAAGTAACAATTTCGAAATACAGTGGCACCGCAGACTGAGCCATAGATGTACAGTCGAACAGGGCCGCACCGTCAGATGGTACCCCCCCCCCCTTCCCGGAAGACGTTCAGTTCTCCTCCTGCGGTCAGATCACCAGAGCTCTTCGATCAATGAAGGTAAAGGTTGAGCTTCTTAGGCATGGGCTTATGGTTACACAAGGCTTATGATTAAGCATATGATTGAGCCTAGGCTTCGTTTTCGGCTTGTTTCGATCAGATGGGTGCTGCCTCAATTTTGCGTAACCTGACCTAACAAGGGAGGTCTTTCAGGGCAAGCCGCGCTTTTTCAAAACGGTTTTTTGCATATTGTAGGAACCCATGTATGGACTACAAAACCATGTTTCATTTTCGCTGAACGGTTCCCTGATGGCCAAAAAAGGGTCGAAAAAATTTGTTGAGAATGGCGGTTTTTACAGCTTTGGAGTGACGTTTCGGACTTGTACAGAAGATCACCTGCATATTGAAGGGTGCTGATGAAAGATGGTATCAAAAACAAGGTGAAATTCGCCAAAAATTGAAGTACTGTCAGTGGTAGTGCTGGAAAAAGTGGAGAGGTTTCATAAGCATC